CTTTTTGATTTCTTCTGCTTAGGCTGACAGACAGCACCATCAAGTTTGTGATCTTCTGGGGAAAAGTCTGTTATCTGACTGCCTTTCTACTCTCTTTCTGGGAAGGGTAATAGATGTTCTATGCAAACCTTGCTTTGCCTCCCTTTGTCTATCACCATAAATAACATCAAACACAGAACAAGAATTAATGGTCACTAATATCTTTTAAAAATATGTATGTACATAGAAATACATGTGTATATATGCATGTTTTATATGTGTGTATAGAGAAATAATATAGGAATAGATAGATAGATAGATGGGAATAACAGTAGTGAAAGGAATAATAAGTAGAGGCAAACAAAACCAGTTTATGAATCTACCAACAACCTGTACATCTGACTTCAAGGAGAGGAAATGGCATTTTCTGCTTAGACACAGGAGAGAGGACAGTTAACACAACACTCCTTCCCTTATCTCAGAGTAATAGGAAAAAGACAATGTCTCTGAGGGGCAGTCTCACCAAACCCATTCCATTTAATACAGCCAAACTTTGTTCTTAGCTAGTTCAACAATTGTGATGACCTCAGCAACAATCAGCTATTTTTTATAGTCTCACTCAACAAAATACCAACAATGAGGGGGCCAGCCTGGTTACCTGTATCTCCCCATATGATTCCAAGATGGAGAAGGTGTCCCAAAGTCCTGAATTCTTCTAACTTTTCTTTTTCTGGAACTTCCTCCTAGAAATCTCTGAGAACAATCCCAAATACCTTCCTACAGCCCTTCTCAGGAGTCCCAATTCCAAACAATTCATTATGGATTCTGTGGTGACACATGCATCCCAAGACAAGGGTTACATTCTTCCCAAGGAACAGACATTTTGCAGTTCAAAGTATGCCTAGAATCTATTTACAGCATAAACACAAATACCAATACTTCAAAATTAATAATAATGATTTTCCTGGCACCTCAGATAACTGTCCAATAGTACTGTTGAAAAAAAGTGCATAATAATATATGGCGTTGGCACAGTACTTTCCAATGCATCCCTTTATAAAATACTTCATTGACAGATGCCCAGTCTTTAGGATTTAGTTCATAGGTGAGGTTAAATATTTTCTTAAAGAGGCCTTAAGAGACCAGAGAAATAGTTTTTTTATTCATTTATTCTCTCCTCTTTTTCTCTGCCACAAGCTTTCTGCTTCAGAGAATGCTAGAGTGGAAAGGTCCTTAAAGGCCATTAAGTCTAATTCAAACCTGATTGAGAATTCACTCTACAGCAGCTTCAGGTGGTCATCCAACCTTCACTTGAAGCCCTCCAGTGAGGGGAAACCCACTACTTTGTGAGATAATCCATTCCATTTCTGATAGCTCTAACTACAGTGTTTCTATCTCTTTTGATTCCCATCTTTTCCTTAACATATCTTCATTCTCCCTCCCTGCTTCCCCCTTTGATGTTGACTTTGATGTTCCTTTCCATTTTGAACTTTAGCACTCTTGGTTGGACTGCGCCCCACTTTCCTTTTCAATATGTTACCCATCTTTTGTTCCACAATATCTTTTTTAAAAATTTAAGTTGGTGTATGCCTTCTCTGTGCATCTTACATCAGTTTTATTATATAACTTCCACTTTTTCTCCTTTGTGGTATCATTCATGTCTTCCAAATTTATTCTTAGGTGCTTCCCATCCTTAAATGACAAATACTGGAGGGTCTATGGGAAAACAAGTACACTGATGCACTATTGGTAGCACTGTGAACTGGTCTAGCCATTCTAGAAAGTATTTTGGAACTATGCTCCAAAAGCTATTAAACTGTGCATATCTTTTGACCCAGTGATACCACTACTAGGTCAATACTTCAGAGAGATTTAAAAAAAGAGGAAACGGACCCATATGTACAAAAATATTTATAGCAACTCTTTTTGTGGTGTCAAAGAATTGCACACTGAGGCAATGCCCATCAATTGGGGAATAGCTAAACAAGTTATGATATATGAATGTGATGGAATACTATTACACTATAAGAAATGATGCAGGATAGAACCCTGGCCCTGAAGTCAGGAGCACCTGAGTTCAAATCCAGCCTCAGACCCAACACTTGACACTTACTAGCTGTGTGACCTTGGGCAAGTCACTTAACCCCAATTGCCTAAAAAACAAAAACAGAAACAAAAACAAAAATAAGAAATGATGAAGTGGGTGGTTTCAGAGAAACCTGGGAAGAACCGTATGAACTGATACAGAGTAAATTAAGCAGAACTAGGAAAGCAGTTTATTATACAACTATATAATAGCATAATGTTGTAAAGAAAAATAACTTTGAAAGGCATAGGAACTTTGATGAACACAGTGACCAAACCATGATTCTAGAGGACTCATGATGAAACAAACTATTCACCTCCTGATAGAGAGGTGATAGACTCAGAATTCAGACTGAGACATGTATTCTTTGGACAGGGACAATGGACAAATTAGGGCAGCTAGGTGGATAGAGTGCTGGGCCTGAAGTCAGGAAAACTCACTTCTTAAGTTCAAATCTGGCCTCGACACTTACTAGCTGTGTGTCCCTAAACAAGTCACTTCATCCTGTTTGCCTTATTTCTTCATCTGTAAAATGAGCTGGAGAAGGAAATGGCCAACCACTTTAGTATCTTTGCCAAGAAAACCTCAAATAGGGTCACAAAGAGTCAAACATGACTGAAATGACGACAAAAATGGGGTGATTTGTTTTGTTTGATGCTACATGTTTGTAACAGGGGTTTTGTTTTTCTTGCTTTCTCCATGGCTTAAAACAATTATTCCAACCTAAGAATAAAATAAAATTTAATTTTTTAAAAAGAGAGTTCCCATTTCTCTTGGCTGATCTTCCACGGATCCTACCTGTCCTTTCCCTGAACTCTTAAATTTATTCTCTTTAAATATAGGGTACACATCAGACTATGTCTAATTAACTCTTCTTTTTTTGGAGAGGCAGAATAGGGCAGTGAATAGAGTATTTGACTTGGAGTCAGGAAGTCAAGTTCAAATCCTTTCTCAGATACTTCCCAGCTATGTGACCCTGGGCAAGCTTCTTAACCTTTCTCAGGATTAGTTTCCTGAGCTGTAAAATAGGGATAAAAATATCTCCTCCCTTACAGGTAGGATCATAAGGATCAAGTGAGATTATGTACATGTTGTTGTTCAGTCATGTCTTGCTCTTTGCGAGAGTACTGTCCACGGGATTTTCTTGGCAAAGATGCTGAAGTGGTTTGTCATTTCCTTTTCAGTGGATTAAGGCAAACAGAGGTCAAGTGACTTGTCCAGGGTCGCATAGCTAGTAAGTATCTGAGGCTGGGTTTGACCTCAAAGTCTTCCTGAATCCAGGCCCAGTGCTCTATCTACTGAGCCACCTAGCTGCCTCATTATATTCATACATACATACATACATACATATGTATATATATTATATACATGCATTATACAACGTATTACATATACACATACATATATACACATATATGTGCCTGTTCCCTTGCAAACTTTAAGACACTGTATAAATTTTAGCTATTATTTTCTTTCACAAACTCTAAGGTAGCAAGTCTACTTTCTTCTGTTTCACATCCTTTTTTGACTCCAGAAACTAGTAAATCCTTGTTGGTTATTGTTAGGTCCATAGGAGCAAATTCCCCCCATTGTTTCCTTCACCTTTAGAAGGATGATGTTATCATTAAGACAAGCTAAGAAATATTTAGCTTCTCTTCTTTTGGGAAGGAGAGAGCTCCAGTCAACTGGAGCCTCCCCTGCCTCCTACCCTGTCACTATTATATCATAGCTCTTTGCTCAACTTGTGATTTGTTTCCCAAAGACTGCATCCATTTTCTTCTTCTCTCCTTCCTACTTTGAAACTCAGTCTTTGCAAATACTCAATCTTTTGGCCCGAGAAGGAGCATTCACCATGACAATCACCCTTCTTATAGTACAACATGATAGTATATGATGGATGAATTGTGCTTCTCAGTAGATGACAGTAGGGATGTGTCATGTCGTAGTGTAGGTGTTTGAACAACCATCACATGGAAGAAGCATTAGTCTTATTCTTTAAAACTAAGAACGCTGGTTGACAATCATAGATAGAGTTGGAATTAATGTATGGAAAGACTTCCCCTAACAATTGGAGCTGTACCAAAAGTGGAATGGGGAGGTAATAAGTTTCCTCTCCTTACAGCTTATTTAGCGAAGGCTGGTTTCTTCCTATGTTTCCAGTCTTCTTACACTTACTTATCCTTCGTGATCCAGCTACGCTGACCTATATTCTGCTTCCTGACTCTCTTGTCTTTATACTAACTGTCCCCTATGATTAGAATGTTCTCCTTCTTGACTCCTGCCTCTTCATCTCTCTGGCCTCCTTCAGGTATCCACTCGAATCCTTACTTCTTCAGAAGACCTTTCCTGGACTCCAGAGCTACTAATGGCTTTCCATCTCAGATTACCTTCCAGCTAATCTGTATAAATCAAATACACAGTTGTTTGTAGGTTTTCTCTTCCATTAGAGCTGATCTCCTTACAGGTAAGGACTACTTTTGCCTTTCTTTGTATCCCCAGCACTTACTGCTAGGCACGTAGTAAGGACTTATTAATGCTTGTTGACTGGCTGGACAACATGGTCTTTGATATCCCTTCTGATTCAGATTTTGTGTGAACACTCCAGATGGCGCCAGATTCACACAAAATGTCCATCCCTGTGCCCTCTGGTTAGTTTTCGGTTAGAATTTTTGGATTTTGTTTCTTTGCATCTCTCCCGCCTGCCTGAAGTATCAAAAACAAAACAAAATTAAACCAAACCAAACCGACCCAAAACAAAACAAAAACTACCAACCCTGAGAGAGAGACACTGAGAGGTGACTTTCTGGGCGGTTAAACCACCACCACCACCACTACCTTGACCACCACCCTCCCTCAAACATGGATGGAAACAGCCCAGGACCCTGAGCCCAAGAGCCCTGGGAATAGTTGCAATCCCTCAGACCCCTGACCTTACGTCTAACCTGGATCCCTGCTGCCATATTTGAGGAGAGCAATCACTGTGGAAAAGGAGCCCATCTTCCTTGTGACCACCAACACCTATTGGCAGATAAGCCCATGAGCCCTGAGAGTTTAAGGGATTCCACAAGAGACTTCCTCCTTAGTTGATATCAAATCATTAATGACTATCTTTGATTCAAATAAGTCCAAATTTTTCTAACCACATGACTGCAGAACTTACATTTCTCCATCTTGTCCATGAGACTAGCATGAGAAACTGTCAAATGATTTGCTGAAATCTAGGTAAATTATATCTGTAACTTTTCCATGATCTAGTAATGCTATCAAAAAAAGAAATGAGGTTTGTCTGGCATGCCTTACTCTACCTGAAGCCATGCATGCTGATTCTTGGTGATTACTACCTCCATTTCTAGATGTTAACTAATATTTCTCTTCTGATGAAAAGTTTTAAAATTCTGTCTGGAATTGAAGTTAATAAGCTTAGTGGCCTATAGTTTGTGGAGTTGTTTTTCTTCTATAGCACAACCTTTGGTAATTGTAATCTTTTAATTGACATAGGATGCTAAAGTCAGATATTGGAAATAGAACAACTCTGAAGTGAGATACAATCCTCATGACATTAGGATTTCATAACCCAAATGTATAAATGTTGTAAATTTGTGATACTGCATTCCAGAACCTCAATATGTACTTTGTTTTCTCTTTTAATAAACCACTACTAGTCTGTTTTCATTTTTTCCCAAGAAGTATAGCTTTAATCAATTTTATTTCCTTCTCTTCAAAAAAATTATTTAAATATTAAATTAAACATTAAATTATATTATTAAATATTAAATTAAATGTTTAAATTATTTAAATTTTAAATTATTTTTAAAACCTCTTAATAACACATATATTGTGACTAGGTCATCTTGAAAGTATTCATTCCTCTTAGGCTTGGTGTGGAGGCACTTATCCCTAATTCCTGCTACTGGAAAGGCTGAGGAGAGTGGATTGCTTGAGTTCTGGAGTTATGAGCTAAAGTAGGGCTAAAGCTAATCAACTGTCTATATCCATATGAGATCTGGCACCAAAACTGTGAGCTCTCAGGAGTAGGGAGCCATCAGGCTGCTTAAGGAAGGATCAGCTGCCTGGGGGAGAAATGGAGCAGGTCAGAGTTTCCATGCTCATCAGTAGTGAGATTAGGCCTATGAGTGGCTACTACACTTCCAGCCTGGATGGGATAGGGAAGTCCAGTCTCAAAAGTAAAGTATTCGTCTTAGTAGGAACTCTTTGTTTTTAACTATTGGTGTTGTCAGAATTTACTATTACAACTGCTTGAAAGTTCTATGGAGTTCCTGTGATGTTATTGTTTTGAATGAAGCTTATACTATGAGAATTCAAAATTAGGGACAGCGAGGTGGTGCAGTGGATAAAGCACTGGGCCTGGAGTTGGGAAAACCTGAGTTCAAATTCAGCCTCAGACACTTACTGGCTATGTGACCCTAGGCAAGTCACTTAACCCTGTTTACCTCAAGTTTCCTCATCTGTAAAATGAGCTAGAGAAGGAAATGGCAAAACACTCCATTATCTTTGCCAAGAAAACCCCAAATGAGGTCACAAAGAGTCAGACATGAGTGAAACAATTGAACAATAACAATTTAATAAAACCCATAATTTCTAAAAGGAAAAAATTTCTAAAAGTCTCTTATATTAAGCAGAAATCTGGCTCACTGTAACTCTAACCCTAAGAGAAATTCATGTTTCTTTAAGATTCTTCTGGAAACAAGCCAAACAACCCTAGTCCCTTTACCGTAAGACAGTCTGCCAAGAGAGAAATTTGGAGACAAAGAGAGGAGTAAATTTAAGTTGGAGGAGACATGCTCGTTTGCTTTTACATTCCCCTTATTTCCTTATGTGTCACAAACCATTAATTATCATAACAGTATGATGAACTGAAAATGAAGTTTCTTTCATTAATACTTTAATTCAAAAGATATCTAGCAAAGTCAAAACCTGATTGACCATAGGTCTTCTCAGTTCAATCTCAAAATAAACATTCAATAGATGTTTGCTCCTATATTTTCATGGTCTGGTGCTTATACTCCCTTTGAACTAAAGGAAAAGAATTTAAAAAAAGAACTATGCAAAGGCATGGCAATTGTAAATGGATTGTGATGGATGGGGACTAGCAAATAGGCCAAGTACATAGAATGCATGATGGGGAGTAATATAAATTCAGCCATGATTATAAGTTGGAGCCTGATGGACAAGGACTTTAAATACCAAATGGAGGAGATTATTATCTTAGAATCAATAGAGAGGAGGTGAGTGAGCAGGGAAGTGAGATGGCCAGATCTGTGCTGTGTGGAGGATGAGGGAAGAGACTGGAGGCAAGGAGACCAATTAGGAAACTGTTGTAATGGTCTACCAAGAAGTGGTAAGAACCTGAATTAGAGCTGTGGTCGTGTAAATGAAGAGAGGGTGATGAATGTGAGAGATGAAACCAGGAAACCAGGAAAGAAGCTCATCTACATTGAAGAATGGTTCACAGGTCCACCTTAGCAAAGCAAGTAAAGAACATGGTAGAATTGGTTAATAGTACATACCAAGGCAAAATGAAAAATCATCCCACAGGATACTTGACCATCATATATCGTAAGCAATTACAAAAAAAAACACGTTGAAGTCAATTGTAACTTATGTGTATTTCTTGCCCAAGATGAGGAAGTAGAGAGATTCTCCAAATAATTTGGTAAAACTTTCTAAATTAAATCTAAAAAGATGTGGATATGCTTTAATATTTGGAGATTTCAGTACAAACATAGGCATAGGAGAGGATGATGAAAACTTGGTTTGTTAATAAAAAGTGAAAGAAGTCAGTCAACAAGCGCTCATTAATGGCTACATGTCAGTGGTGCTGTGCTTATCTATCGTGAATATTTTCTTTAAGAAGAGTTGGGTGTGGGGCAGCTAGGTGGTGTAGTGGATAGAGCACCAGCCCTGGAGTCAGGAGGACCTGAGTTCAAATCTGGCCTACAGACACTTGACACTTACTAACTGTGTGACCCTGGGCAAGTCGGTTAACCCCATTGCCTAGCCAAAAAAAAAAAAAAAAAAGAGAGAGAGAGAGAGTTGGGTGTGATTGTGTCATGAGTACCAACATGAGAGTCATTTCCAAACTGATTGTATATAGTCAGACAATTGACTTTTTAGTGAGAGATAGAAATTAATACTAAATCAGAAGAAAAAATAAAAATGAAAAGAAGATCACAGATTTAGAGCTACAATAAACAATAAAGGCCTTTGATTCCAATGACCTGTAATCCAGTGATCATTTAGGCTGACCGTCTCATTTTACAGATAAGGAAACTGAAACCAAGAAAAGTTAACTGTCTTGCCTAAGGTCACACATATAATGGTTAAAGCAGTATTGACTCCAGGTCTTTGTGATTCCAAATCCACCATTCTACCCCCAACCTACTGTTGAGCATCATCTCCCTGCCAAATGGAGGTATATTGCTCTCTATCCTCTGAAGTGTGAGTTCTTTCTCCTTACCCTAATCCATACTTCCCCAAGGCCAAGAAACAGGTCCATTAACCATCTGTGTGATACTACACAAATCATTTTCTTCTCTCTAGGCTACAGTTTTCTCATCAATAAAATAAAAATAAGGGCAATAGATTCAGAAGCGGCGCCTGAGAGACTGTGCTTCCATACCACACAAGCACATTAAAGCAACAAAATATTTTTTCTTGAATGGAAACTTAGGTCCCTTTCCTGCACCTTCCTCAGGAAAGGTGTGGTAGATACTTGTGAGAAAGGAACTACATTAGGGACAAGATAGAATCCTCTGCTTATCACAAGAAGCATCTATCTAGCTCTAAGATATTGTAGTAGTCAGGTGAAAATTATATAATGGAATCACAGATTTTTTTTAAACTGAAAGAGACATTACAGGTCAATTAATCCAATCTTCTCAATCTTACACATAAGGAAACTAAGACTTGCACTTAAAAGTTCAGGTAGGAAAGCTCCTAAAAACCATCTTAGTGGGGTGAAAGAGATCTGTTGTTTAAATGAGATTACATGATGAAATTTTGCCAGGCAAGAAAACAGGGAAGTTTCTATGCTGGGAATTCCCTCACTAATAAAAATCAATGCTTGACCATTAAAAAGAAAGCATAGAACATTCAGTCAATGACCCATGATTTTATTGCTGGTTTCTGCATTAGAGAATAAGGAACCATTAATAAAATCAGGGATCCTTGAAGCATTTTTATGAGGTTGCTTAAGCACCAAACATGCTTTTCTTTCCCAAACACAAATTCCAATACCCTTTAGAAACACACATTCCATCGATTCATTTCCTTCCCTTGTTTTTAATAAACTTGTTGTCTATTTTCTCAACTTCAATCTTTTATGTAGCAGTGGCTAGTAACCCCTTCTCTGTCACCTTCCCAGGCCAACTCACCCAGCACTCTCTCCCCTAAGCCCCCCAGCTCCATGTATGCCGTCTGGAAGGCCGCTGCTGTGCTTTCATCAAGAGGTTGCTCCTGGCCATGGATCATGATGGTACTGCATTTCTCCAGGATCCTCTAGGGGGCTCCTTTCATCACCAAGAGGAAGCGCTTGTCATCGGGGTCTTCTGTCTCATGAATGGACAGCTGGGAGGAAGGAATGAAGTGAATGTGTTAAATGGGACATGTCACTATTACTGTCACTTCTAAGAGGCCTGAAGAGCTCCTCCACAATTAGCCACATGCCAGGAGAAGGAAAGTCGTCTCTTACTGTTTGTACTTGACCTTCTTGCAGTAGAAACAGGAGGCATCTCGATGCCCTTGGAGTGCATTGAAGCCTCCTCTATTGATGGGATCAAGGAGCCAGAGCTGGAAGGGACCTTAGAGGCCCTATGGTCCAGGCTCCCCATTTTACAGATGAAAGACCAGAAGCCCAGGGAGGTTAAATGACTTGCCTCACTTGGGCCACATGGGGAGTAAATGGCAGAGGTAAGATTTGAATGCAAGACTTCTCCCCCCCATACTCAGCATTCCTTCTATTGTAATGTGCTATTCAAACCCATGGTCATCTCCACTTCCCTTGGCGCCTCCTACTAAAAAAAGGAGACTCAAACTTGGCCCCAACCTAAACCTGCAGCCTGGGCTTTCATAGGAGAAATCAGCAGACCCGAACTGCAGCAGTGCCTCTCTCTAAAGAGGAAGAGAGGTCCTTTCAGGTGGTGGCACAAATTCCACTGAACGTCACGCCCAGGGCAGGATTATCTACTGCAGGTTTCAAAAAAAAATTCCAGGAACCCAGAGATTTAAATTTCACTACTTTTCAACATAGGTACATTCACCTGGGGCTCTTTGTTTTCAACCCACCATCAATGAAGAGATTTTTACATGTGTATATTCTCTCTGATAAGAACTGAGAAAATTGTACCACCATGGTAACCATCAAACCTCATTTAATAAAATATATTTTATGAGGTTAAAGAGGATGTGTATATTTGTGTGAAGGGAAGGCTAGGGAAAGGAATTTTTACTTTATGGCCCACATCTAATTTGCTCCAGGCTGAGCAAAAAGGTCACTGGTGAAATTTCTAATACTAAATATGCTTTTCTCTCATACTACCTGCTCCCCCAATACTTTAGACTCTGAAGAGTTATTTTCATTCCCATCTCAATTCATTACTCTCTTCATGAAGGAGATAGAAGCAGTCAGCCTTTGGACACTCCTATACTCCTGAAGTGAAAGCACCAATTGCTGCTAGGCTGATTTCCTGAGACATTAGGGAAAAGATCCTACAGGACCCCAGAACCTCAACTGCATGGGACAGAATGAAATCTAAAACCTTCCTGGTTTGCCTACATACTGTCAGAAAGGGCATTTATTTGTCCCTACCCAATGTGGTGAGGCTTATGTACTTTACTCACTTTTGGAATGAGGCAGTCTCTTTGGGAATGAACTCTCCATCGCCAGTCATCTTTTCTTTCTTCTTCTTCTTTTTTTTTTTTGGCTGGGCAATGGGGTTAAGTGACTTGTCCAGGGTCACACAAGTAGTAAATGTCATGTGTCTGAAGCCGGATTTGAACTCGGGTCCTCCTGACTCCAGGGCTGGTGCTTTATCCACTCATCACCAGTCATCTTGACTTTTGTCCCATTACTGGATTTCACTCAGGAAGAGAGAGTGAGGCTGATGACTTTGTACAACTCTGCCTCACTTAAATCCACTTCATGCACAAAATCAAGACATCACCTGTGATGTCTTTGGTCCTCTTCAAAAATGAAAGACATGCAACTCCCTTAGAGCCTCTGATAGTAACTAAGCAACAAAAACCTAGACCCCAAATCCTTCAGCACCAGAAACTAAGACAGTAGACTGGATGGATTTTTTTCAGGGAGACCCACATCCTAGCTTCTCTAGACTCAGCCTCCTTCCCCTACTGCTTCTGGGAAAACAACAGCCCGAAGTAGCCCAGGCTCTAGACCTGTGGAGACATTTCATAACTGCAAGTAAGAATATCACTGGGCTAAGAAATAAGATCCCTGGTCATGAGGAAAAACCTACCTGGAATTTGTTGAAGGAGTTAGAAGGGATTTAGGTCACTTTTCTGTTTCTTTTTCTTCTTTCTATCACATCACCCATGATGACTTATGAGAACTTCAGGAGGGCCCCTTCTGAAGCATCTCCCATCACTACTTTCTGGAAATTTTTTTTTCAAAGAAGAAATAAAACAAATCAAATTATAATCACAGTTTGGCTCTTCCGTGGCATTTAAAATCAACTTCTGTTTTTGAATACCTGCCATGTGCTTAAGTGCTATAGGTAATAGAGAGGAGAGAGAGGAGGAAACATGCTTGCCCTTAAAGAGTTTATAATTTAATTGAAGACAGAAGATAAATGAATAAGATAAGACAATAGGATTAAGCTTTGAAACTGCATTGTCTAGACAATAAGTAAGTTCAAAAATGAGATCACTAAGGGCCAGAGCAGTTGGGGTAGGGAGGTTTTCTTTCATGGATCATTTGAGCTAGGCCTGGAAACACCAGAAAGGATAAATGGAGAAAGTTTTTAAAGGCAAAACTATAAATGAATCATGAAGGAAAAAAAAACAAGCATGGCATATTATCTATCAAAACAGTAATGAAATAGTCCTAATTAAAGCTAGCAAATAGTGGAGAAACAAGTTTGGATAGGGCAGGGTGGGGCCATGTTAAAAAGGGGCTTGAAAACCAGGCAGAATTTTGATAATATAATGGACTAATGAACCAATGAAGAGTGAACAGGAGAGAAAGATGACAAAATAAGAAGTGTAAGCCCGGCAGTGGGATGTAGGAAGGATTAGAACAGCATGAAACTAAGATCCAGCAGCCCAGTTAGTAACTGCTCTAGTAGTTTAGGAAAAGGGTAATGAGGGTGAACCCAAGAAGTCAAAAGTGGGTGACACTTTAAAGGGGGTTAGGGTAGGAAGGCATTTACAGTCACCCTGTGGATATAGGAAATGAAGGGGAGAGTCAAAGGAAACTCCAAACATGAAGAATGTGGCATTGATAGGGAAACTGGGAGAGGACACTTACTTGTGGAGTTTGGGGAGAGCAAGATGGCACAGCAATAATAACAGTAGCTAGAATTTATGTAACACTTTAATGTTTGCCAAGTTCTGCATTTACAAATATAGAAAGAGCACTAAACTAGGCATCAGCACACCTGAGTTTTTTCTTACCTCCTGCTAGTGACTAGTTCTGTGTCTCTGGGCAAGTTTTAACCTTTCTGAGCTCAATTTCCTTTTTCATTATATGAGCAGATTGAACAAAGAGATCCCTAAGGTTCTTAAAACTCTGAGAAATTGAAGAAATTAAGTTTTAGATATGTTGTTTGCAGGGTAGGTGTCAATGAATAGCCAAGTGGCAATGTCTATTAACCATTTATTTGGATGATAGAGATAGAACTGGAGCTTGGGTCAGATGAGACAGGATATTGGGATTTAGATGGCATCAGCATGGAGTTAATAGCTCAGGGAATGGATGAAATAAGTGAGGGAGAAAAAAGCACAAAAGCCCAGTGAATACGCTTTGGAAAAATAGTGTCAGAAAAGGAATGTATAACAGAAGAAAACAGAGCAGAATGGGAAAGGAAGAGGAAAAGCCAAAGCAGTTTCAATGTGGCGAGAAGTAAAGAGAGAAAGAAATGCACTGAAGCACCTAAGTGTTCATATCTTCAAAAAATTCTATCTTAGATGAGAAGAATAGCCCTACAATTGATATGATAAGTTGATATCTTTATTTTGTGTCTTGACCCGTGGATTATGCTGGTGAAAGCAACTCCATCTACTAATGCAGAGTAGTACCTGCTCTCCAACTGACAGCCTTAGAGTTACCTGGGGCATTTCATTCAATTAAGGGTCTCAAGTATTTCTGAATGATATAATAAAGAAATATTTCCCTTGTTATACCTGCTTAAGACTCAGTTCAGCAAATTCAGTTTGATAAAGATTTATTAAGCACCTACTTTGTACTAGGCATTGTGCTAAATGCTGCGGATACAAAAAAGAGGCAAAAACAGTCCCTTCCCTCAAAGTGCTTATGATCTAATGGGGGAAACAACTTGCAAACAAATATATACAGAGGAAGCTATGTACAGGATAAATATGAAGCAATTAAAAGAGGAAAAGAATTGGAATTAAGAGGGTTTAGGGAAGTCTTCCTGTAGAAGATGGAATTTTAGTTGAGACTTAAAGGAAGCCAGGGAGGTCAATAGTTGCGGTAGAGGAGGGAAAGAGTTCCAAGCATGGGAGAGAGTCAGAGAAAATGCCCAGAACTGAGAAATGGAATATCTTTTCCACTAAATATCTAGGATGCCAGTGTCACTAGACCAAAGAATATGTGTTAGGGAATAAGGTGTTGTTCTTCATGCTCAAAAAGGACCAAAATGACACCACTATAATGGTGTCAAGGTACAGTGTAAGGGAGTAAGGTATAAGATGACTGGAAAAGTAGGAGGGAGCTAACTTATGAAGGGCTTTGAATCCCAAACAGAGCATTTTATATGGCTCCTAGAGGTAGTAGGGAGCCACTGGAGTTTATTGAATAGGGGTGTGACAAGGTCAGACCTGCATTTTAGGAAAATCACATTAGTGGCTGAATGGAGGATGGCCTGGAGTGGAGAGGTACTTGAGGCAGGCAGACCCACCAGCAGGCTATTGCAGTAATCTAGGAGTAAGGTGATGGGGTGATGGGTGCCTACGCTATAGTGGTTGCAGTGTTGGAAGAGAAGGGGGCATATTTGAGAGATGTTGGAAAGATGAAATTGACAGGCTTAGGCAACAGATTAGATATGGTAGGTGAGACAGTGAGGAGTCCAGGATGGCCCTGGGTTAGTTGACTGAGCGACTAGGGGGGATGGTGTTGCTCTTTAATAGAGAAGGTAGGAGGTAGGGACAATTTAAGGGGAAAGATAATGAGTTCTGTTTTGTACATACTGATTTTAAGATGTCTACTAGACATCTAGTTCAAGATGTCTGAGAGGAAATTGGACATGGGAGACTAGAGATCAGCAAAGAGATTGGGACAGGAAAGCTAGATCTGAGAATGATCAGCATAAAGATGGTAATTAAATCCATTAAATTAAATTAAATTAAATCCAGGGAGCTGATGAAATCACTAAGTGAAGTAGTGTGGATGGAGAAGAAAAGAGGACCAAATGCCCCCTGAGGGACACCTACACTTAAAGGGCATGATCTGGAGGATGATCCAGAGGACACAGAAGAGGAGTGTACAGATAAGTAGAAGGAAAATCAGGAGAGGTCCTGATAGAGAGAAGAGAGTATCAAGGAGGAGAGAGTAATCAACAGTGTCAAAGGCTGCAAAGTGGTCAAAGAGAATGATGATTGAGAAAAGGCTATTTGATTTGGCAACTAAGAGAGCATTTGGAACTTTGGAGAGAGCAATTTTGGTGGAATGATAAGATTGGAGGCTAGATTGTAAGGGGTTAAGTAGAGGGAGAGAAAAGAACCCATAGCCACCAACTGCAGACCTCCTTTTCAAGGAGTTTATCTACAAAGGGCAGGAAAGAAATCAGATAGTAGTTAGTAGGGATGGAAGGATCAAGTGAAGGTTTTCTCCAGAATGGGGAAGATATGGGTGTGTTTGTAGGCAATAGGAAAGGAACCAGTAGGGAGAGGAAGATTGAAAATAAGTGAAACGGTAGGGATAACAGAGGGGTCAATCTCTTAGAGGGAAGAAATGTGATGAAATTTTCTTCACTTTCACTCAGCAGCACATGTCACATGCAGCAGTATGTGTGTAGGTACAAAGGTGATAAATGGTGAGAGTGATCCAAGGCTGAGGCTTGGTTGAGCATAATAGGTGGTATGTCTTTAAGAGAAGAGGACAGTGTGGAGTTAAATTTGTTCACCAAGGAGTCAAGATAGGGGGAAAAGGAGACTGTGGCTGGTTCAGGGGAGATGGCCAGGAAGAGAATTGAGGGGTCAAGGGACAGTGAGGATAGAGAGTAGTGTTGTGAGGAAAGGCAGAGTGAAGTTGAAAAGCCAATAGATTATGATTAGATAAGGGGATTTCAGAACCTTGAACATGGATGGAGATGGTACCTTTATAGGTGAAGGCAAGATCTAGGGCATGACCTTCTTTGTAAGTGGCTCAGGTATGGTGGAAAAGTAGCTCATAGGAGGAGAGTAGGTTGAGGACCTGAGTGATTAAGGTATTTGAGGTATGAGGGCAAGAGTTTGGAAAGAAAGAAAAATTGTAAACCAGGTTTCAAACTCTTTGAGGAATTAAGGAGAGTGACCTGAGGGTCTATAAACAACAGCTACCAGGATTTTGACTGGGTGGTAGATATGAATAGCATGAACCTCAAAGGAAGAGAGGTTACTTAGTGAGGGAGAAAGGGAGATAACCTGGAAGCAAGGAGTATTCCAGCTCTCTGACCTCAACCAGAAAGCCAAAGAGAATGAGCGAAGGGTGGCCAGGAAGTCTGTGTCATCAGGAGAAAGCTAGATTACAGTAAGAGCTAGGAAATGGAAGGAATGGGAGAGGAATAGATTTAAGATGAAGGTAAGTTTGTTATCTATTGAACAGGCATTCCAGAGGGTACCTTGGAAAAGATGGAGTTAGGATAGAACTTTGAGAAGGGGAAAGAGATGAGGAGTGAGGTAGTAGGGAGCGTTGAGTGGAGTTTGGATAATGACCTACTGGAGTTCAGAGATAAGCAGAAGGAGTTTAAGAGATATGTTGAAGAGGTAAACAGAAGGCCAAGAAGGAAATATGTTACATGAAGACACATTTACTTGTGTCCCTGCTCAAAAAACTTCATTAGCTCCCTGTTGCCTTCTAGGATCAAATACAAACTCTCCTATTTGGCATTTAAGCTCTTCATAATCTGGCTCTGTAACCTACCTATCCTTTCTGCTAGTTACCCATTACTACCCTTAGCAGTCATGGTAGCCAAATTAGACTGCTTCCTGCTCCACTTAAGCAATATTCTATCTCCCATGTTCTGGTCTTTGCACAGGCCATCTGTCTCGCATGCTGAGACCCATTTTCTCCTCCATTCTGCCTTTTGTTACTTTTTGCTTCTTGCAATTTTCAGCCCGAGTGCAACTTATAACAAGAAACCTTTCCCTACTTCCCCACTTGCTAGTGTTTTTCACTCATATTTACCTTTGTGTATGTAGTTTTCCCCCAGTAGAATGTGAGCTCCTAAAGGCCAGGGACTATATGTGTCTGGTAACCCTAGTGCCTAGCACATAGTAAGTGCTTAATCAATGCTGAATTCAGTAGCTTTGATGAGTTGGGTCTTGGAGGAACAAATAGGATTAATTTACATTGTTTCAACACAACAGCAAGATCATAAAATTTCCTTCAACATGGTGTTGAAGGAACCACAATGAATTTCAGCCTTGTTCAAACTACTACAATACACTACCTGAAGTCAGTATTTTAAGACGTCCTCCACTTTTTCTTCTGACTCTGCAAAGCAAAGTAGAATGAAACCAAGGTATGATTTTGTTACTTGGCTAGATAACATGTTGGCAGTTCAAACTTACTCTTGTGTATAGTAACTTCTCATCTCTTTAAGTGGCAGTACAGCAGAAGGGGATGGAAGACAGCAAGATGACCTGGAGATTGGCTTTGATGTCACACCCAAATGAACAGAAGCCCTACCTTCATGATGGGGACACTTTCCTGTCTTGGTGCAAACTCAGCTCGCTTGCACAGTGTTACAATCTTGGATAAGGAGGCCCAGGTTGCAGAACTTTGGTCAAATATCTGGTCTGGAAAGCAAGAGAAAAAGTGATGCAGCACATAGAAGACTGCTGTGGTAGAGGAGAGTGTTTGTATATCTACAGGGTCCAAACAGATCTCAGAAACAGCCTGCTCACCCTATCAGGTTAACATTAACTTCCCATGCTCAGTCCCACATCCTTGAGATTGCTTCCAAAGCCTCACCTTTCTGATCTTCACTTGTATCAGCCTGATAAACTTGGTTGTCAAACCACAGATGGGCCACAGTCATTCTGTTTTGTGTTAAGGTCCCAATCTTGTCAGAGCAGATGATGGAGGTGGAGCCCAGAGTTTCCACTGCTTTCAGGTTCTTCAGCAGACTGTTCTTCTTGACCATCTGTTTTGCTGTCAGGGACAGAGTCACCTAGAAATGAAAGAAGGAAAGAAATATAAGCCCCAGTGAGTCAAAATTGTAGAAGACCTTTTGCTTAACCATTTTTGCAGAGACCACATTTTGACCTATATTTTATGAATGACCATGGCTCAATATTTGTGGCTAGATGAATTTGGGGATAAATAAACAGTCATGATTGCTATACAGAAAGTTTGGGCATTTTCTTGGTTGAATGATGCCAAGAGGCTTTTGTTTTAAGTCAACAAACCCTAATTGTGGTTCTTTCCTCTTTTGAATAAAGTGATCTACAATGACTGAGTTGCAAAGAAAAGGTCAACAAGTCTGTACCATATGGATGAAAATCACCATTTGGTCTTGGGTCAACTTGCGTCAACTTGAGCATCTATGTTTTTCTCCAGAAAGATTGTAAGTCTGGAAAGACTTGTGCTCAAGTCTATATCCTAAAGTACTAATCTTATACTCTGGGTCTTCAAGGAGATATCATGTACATTCTTAAATACACTCTAGGGTTCAACATCTTCTACACCTTAATTTATAGGTCAGGTTCAGATAAGAGATCAATATAGAGACTGCTTTATAATTTGAAGTTTATTCTTTGGATCTCTCACTTTGCTTTTAGACAAGACTAGAGCTGATAAACATATACATAAGGTCACTTACGGCTCTCCTGAAAAGGGAGATGTGTACCTTATAATTTTGGATTCTGATGTTAAAACTATCCAGAGTAGTCCTATATGTTCCTCTAACACCCAACCTATCTAAAACATTCAAGTATTGCCTCCCAGTGGGGAAAGTATTCTACTCCAAAACATTGAAATAATTTGAAATATACCAGCTCAAGTAGGGTCTTGTATATTCTATAATGTTACAAATATAAGGATCAAGTCAGAGAACTTGGATCACATCATGAACTTACTGTGACAGCAGCCACCAGACCCTCTGGTACATTGGCCAAAATGATACCAATGAGGAAGATGACAGCATCTAGGACCCACTGTTTCATGCATATTGAAATGATGAAGAACATGATACCAATAGAAATTGCTACCCCTACTAGAGTATGGACAAAGTGCTTAATTTCAATGGCAATTGGTGTCTTCTCATGCCCAACAGATGAAGCCAGTGAAGCAATTCTTCCAATGATGGTGCGGTCACCTGTGCTGATGACCATTCCAGTTGCTATGCCTGGAAGGAAAGTACATGGATGATATTCCAGGAGGTCTTGCCTATAAGAGATACAGACTTCTTGGACTTCTGTCTTCATCCTCTAGCCCGACATGACCACCAGTTAGGCATTGCCCTGATCTGAAGAACTGCGTGATATTAGATCAAGTGTTGGCATATTGGGTACAACTATGGGTTTTTTTGTTTTTCTTAGGAAAAAAATCTTATGTGAAGTAGAGGGAAGGAGATCAAGAAGTATGGATTGAGTAGAAAGACCCTTAATTTTTATGGAATGTTTGTTCCGTATATTCCACCAGACCTACCTTCCAGGCAGGTTGTAGAGTAAAAGCCAATGTTCTTCGTCTCCAAGGGATTTTCATGAGTAAGATCACAAGAACAAGACTGAGGTTCTGATTCCCCAGTAAGAGATGAATTATCTACATGGGAATGAATTCAATTTAACTTAACAAACTTTTATTAACCACCTACTATGTGTAAGATACAGCCCAAAGTATTGGGGTTCTAAAAAAATGAAATCTCTATCATAAAAAATGAACTTTGGTAGTGTGTGTGTGTGTGTGTGTGTGTGAAAGAAACAAGACGTACATTTAAAGTAAACATAAAGTTTAAACTCAATAATAAAAAGTAATTTCATGAAGACAGATTTGAGAAAGCTCTAGAATTAGGCGTTTTGGCTGTCTTGCCCATTTGGGTGGGACTATAGGTTACAGAGACTGGGACCAGATCCAATTATCCTTAGAGGGAGCAATACATTGATGCTTACCTTACATCCCTGTGAGGCCAAGATCCTGATATCGGCAGGAATCTGGTCTCTACCCTTAATCTCTACAATATCTCCTACAACCAGCTGCTCTGCAGGGATCTCCCTCTTTTCTCCATCTCTGATGACAAAAGCTTTCTGGGAAATGAAAATGAAAAAGAAACTTCAAACCCTGACATGGCATCTTCTTCATCTACCCAATGGTCTGGATGCTCAATATCAGAGGATATTGTAGCTTTAGCTATATAGCAAGACTAACAAGTAGCATGTAGATAATACTTCAAGACCTGCCAAGTGCTTTACCCATGTTATCTCATTTGATCCTCACAACAACCCTAAGAGGTGGCTGCTACTATTTTTCTCCTTTTCCAGATGAGGAAACTGAAGCCAAGAGAGGTTAAGTGACTTGCCCAGGGTCATAAGCTAGTGTTTGAAGCAGGATTTGAACTCTTGGTTCCAAATACAAAACTCTATCCACTATGTCATTGGCTAAAAGTAGAGCAATAAGTATTTCTCTTGGGCCCTGAAGGCCTCTAAATGCCATAGTGCACAGGGCGATCATAAAACATGGAGAAAGATTGGGGTGAATTGTAGACTTGACAGAGAGAGAGACCAACAGCTGCCTGCAGGAATTGATGCTAGCTATAAAGCATAGGAAGAATATTAAGTTGAACGGTAAAGATATAAATCAAAATCCAGGATGTTAAATTTAGAACTGTTAGGAATCTTAGAGAGTTGTAAGTCCAATGCCCTAACATTATACACTTCAGAACACAGAGGCCCAGAGAAAGTTCAGTGACTGCCCTAAGATCACACAGCTAGGAAGTATCTGAAGTAGCCAAGTTTTCCTGACTCCAAGCCCAGTGTCCTATCCTCATTACCATGCTGTCTTTATGTGATATAAGTCATAATCGTACAGTGATGACCGGGATTCTTCCTTTCTTTATGCAAAGAAGGGTGCCAACTTCCTTTTCCCTCCCCCGATTAAGGTTGGCAGTTCCTTTGGCCATCATGGAGGAAAATTGTGAGTTTTAAACATAATACAGAAAACCCGCTGCAGGAAGACCATTCTATGCAATGGGAAGGGCATTAGGTTAAGCCATTCTGCCAACCTTCTGGTGGCAACATCAGTGCATGCAGGCAAAGAATTTGGGAGAGAAAAGGGCAGAATGAGCACAGACTCATTCTCCCAGGTGGGTATGGTCACTCTCTGTCCTAGTAAAAAGTTCATTAAAAGTTGTTGTTTGAACTTCTCAGGAGGCACTCTATGAGTGAATGAACAACAAAGCAGGCAGAACTATACGAAGATTTAGAAGCAGCAATAAACAGTGTTTGCCATGACACAGTTCAAGGGAGTTTTGAGCTCCTTACCCGAGGAATCATTTTAGTGAAACTGGCAATGATGTTGGTGCTCTTTGCCTCTTGGTAATAAGTAAAGATCCCAGTGAGGATGACCACCACGATGAGCACAACACCTAAATAGACCTGCATGAAAGGGAAAGGAGACCCAAGTCAGAGAAGCAAATGCTCATAATGAATCAGGTACTATTTAGGGTGAGAACTTCAATCTGCAAGCAAGTTAGATGCCCAAGTATTTATTATATAGGTCAGTGGGGAATCATTTCATGCATTTTGGTTGCCAGGCCCTATGACTCTCCTAAAGGCTTGCCTAAATGCTTTGCGTGCTAAATTAAGAAATGAGGAAGTAAGCCTTGAAAGGATGGGGTGAGAGCCCAAGGATGCTGCATGTTGATACAGGACCTTTGTCCCTTAGGAACCCATGATGCTTTCCTGTTTCATCTCCATGGCATAGAAACAGCAGCCCTCAGGACATCTCCACCCTTGCTTCCTATCTTACAGATGTAGCAACTGCAGTCTGGAGAATTCTAGTAACATGACCCCACTCAAGAGTGATTCCCTGGCAGAATCAGGATTGAATTCCTTGTTTCCCTTTCTATCAGTCCAGGAGTCTATGAGAGCTCTTAGTCTCTGGTACCCCTTCTATGATAGAGAAACCAATGACAAAAACCATTGCAGGAAGCCTTTTAGATACTTATGTTGTCCATGGAAGCAGACTTGTCCTCTGAAAACTCAATCAGATATACAATGAAACACAGGATAGCTCCTGCCCACAAAAGGCTGGAGAATCCACCCACCATTTGTTTGAGGAATTTGATGATTTCTGGAGTTTCTTTGGGTGGAGTAAGGACATTGGGGCCATCTTGAGCCAAGAATTCTGCAACTCTTGTGCTAGTGAGACCCTGCAAAGACAAAGTCAGGAAAAATAGGTGTTAAAGAATGACTGGACATTCTTAGCTTTGTGTATGTAGAACTTTAGAGGCTGTGGTTTTTTGGGAGATTTTGTTTCATTTTTGGTGGGGGTTAGAGGGATCCCTGTATTTGGAGTGGAAATATTGGCTTTGTAAAGCTCCTAGGTGTCTTATGGCTTTTATCTTTGAGTTTCTATTTTTTTTTTCAGAGCAAGGGAAAGACCAATTTAGATTTCCCAAAGAGCTATCCTCCTGCATGCCTATATAAAGAGGAGGAAAAATCTTTCCTTGGGTGAAGAATGAGGATTTACAGAGAAGAGATTAAAAAAAAAGATGGATGAAGCCCTGGAGTCAGAGGACCTGGATTCAAATCTTGTCTCTGATACCATCTTGTGACCTTTGGCAAGTTACAATCTCCTTTGTCCTCAGTCTCCTCTTTTGTAAAATTAGTAGGTTGGGCTAGAAGGCCTCTGAGGTCCTTTCTTACTCCAGATCTATGATCTTTCAATGATAACCAGGGCTAAAATCAAAACAGTTCTTATTCAGAAAAAAATCTTATTTTGACTCTCTGAATAATAGATGTTGCTAAGCCAGTCCTTTTCTCTATATCCACCCTAGATAGGGTATTACCTAGCTATGAAATCCTCTCCATCCTTCAAGACCTCACTCATATTTCACCTGCTCTGTGAAGCATTGTCTTGTCACCCTAGCCTGATGTAAACTGTAGGAAATGTATTTTTGTCATAGCCTATTCAAACAATTTTGATTGTGCCACACTTGTATTCAATACATCTGCCTTGTATTGTATTTATTTGTGTACATGGTAGCCCTCTCCTCTTCCTTCCTAGGATGTAAACACTCTGAGGTGAGGAATTATACTTTATTCACCTTTAAATCTCCTTCTACACCAAACATAAATGTTTAATAAATATCTGTTGATTGAGTAATTAACTCAATATTATCTAACTGGAATACTTGCTCTGCCCCAAGTATGCATACAGTACTGCTAAAAACAAAAACAAACAAACAAACAAAAAAATGCCTCATGACAAGACATTAAAATATTATGAAGTTCTATCTTAATTGAGATCCACAATAGAAAGCAGTATCAGTTTTTTTGTGGAAGAAAAACTTGGAAGGGGTTTGTTTGTCCGCCAATATGTACCTGGTTGTTTTCATCTTTTAATTATATACAGACTCTAATTATATCTCAGACTCTGAGGTCCATAAGACAAGGAATGTGCTTGGTCCAGAATTCAGGGACCAAACCAATAAAAAGATTCCAACCCTCCTGTTCCATGATACTATGTACTTATTGATGCTGTTATTCTTCCAATCAAGCAGGGAGAACTCACGTCCTTCTTTCCTCTCACAAACCCCCAGGAAGACAAGGACAAGAATAACCCTTGTTTAAGAAACTGAAATAAAGTTTAGTCCTTTACCAGAGACATTGCATCCTTCCCATCATTCAGGGATCCCTTTGGAAGAGATGACTAAGACTGTGTCCCCAGTCAAGGGACATCAGGGAGAACCAGGTAACCTTTCTTATCAAGGAGCTCAACAAAGACACCCAGGATGCTAGCTTTACACTAGCTTTACTCTAAGTTGTTCCAATGAATTACTGACGCTAAAGTGTTTCCCACCTTTCCTCATCCTCTAAGGGACAGAGAAGCAAGCCCCTGGTTCTTCATCCTCTCAGTGACTTACTTGGACGATGTTTATTCCATACTTGTCTTCTAATTCCTTAGTGCTGAGTTTGTGGTCATCCTAAGATTCCAAAGGAAAAAAAGAGAAAGAGCCATGTGAATGAGAAACAGCATAAATTAAGTGAGGGGAGAGGCGACAGAGTGAGGGAGGGAGAAACATTTGGAACTCAAAATTTTGCTAAAAATGATTGTTGAAAATTATGTTGACAAGTAATTGGGAAAAATACTAGTTAAAAATTTTAAAATAATATCTATAGAACACCTGAAAAGGGACATAGTGTTAAGAGTTTGATGTCTGTGAGATGCTCAGTCTTCATTCACTTGCAGATTCAAGGGCCAGTATGTCTCTGGAGAAATAGATAGTTGTAATTGACAGTATTCTTTCACTTATCCTTTAATAAGCTCTTTCTTTCCCCTCCTCCTCTGCTGTACCTGCTATAAGAGTAAGCCCTTCTAGGTACAAAGAAAGGCCCCACTTTCATTGCATTAAGTGGAATTAAAGTCTCTTCTACCACCCACTCAAGCTTTCTTATATCGTTATCTTCACTTTAAATGTTTGTTTGCTAAAGGAATATAAAGACACATTATGTACACACACATACAACCAAGAGCCACCTTCTAGGAAGACGTTTTTCTTTTCAAGTGAGGTTTATCAAGTGAGTAAGCATCTGCCATTATCCCTTGGCCAGAGGTCAAGCAATTGCCATGAGCACAAAGCTAATATCCTAGTTCTTGTTGGGAGAAAGCACAGACTTTTATGGTCAATGACAACTGCAGAGGCTCCTTTATACAATCTACTACTCCACTCATTATCACCAACTTCAGTAATAACTAAGGAACAGAGAAGCTGATGTCACTGAACTTAGGTCTAGATGTGGCCATCAAGAAAAGTAAAAACCTGGGCGCAGCTAGGTGGCGCAGTGGATAGAGCACTGGCCCTGACGTCAGGAGGACCTGAGTTCAAATGTGGCCTCAGACCAAACACTTGACACTTACTAGCTGTGTGACCCTGGGCAAGTCACTTAACCCCAATTGCCTAAAAAAAAAAGTAAAAACCTGAATTGCTGATTTCCTTCTGGTAGTACAGAGGGGCAGGAGGAGGGAAAATGGAAAAGAGAACACACAGACTTTAAAAATTAATACCATGTAAAAGCTGAAATTGGAACAATGTGCTTAGTCATTTCCTTTTTCATTAAATTTGGGAAAGAATTTCTGTCTAATTGGACAAAGAGGTTTCCACTGTTATCTTTTAGTTTCCTTCAGCTACCACAGGTCCCCTTGGACGACCTTTGCCCTGAGCTTGTTCAGGGGCCCAAGCTCATCACTGTGATGACCACGTGCCATCTTCTGGATGCCTGATTCTCAGGTGTCCCAGAGAGGTATGTGTACTGATGTCCCAGGGCAAACAAATGGTACCTTTTTCCCACTTTCCCTCTGTTGTCACAAGTCCTTCTACAGTACCCAGCCATAGAAGGGAGATGATGTACTCTCTAAATTTCCTTGTGAATACCAGACATTTGTGATAACTATAACTCAAGTGACATAGCAAGTACTCAGTGTGGTCCCTATCTTATAGAATTATGGACTGGATCTCCTTTTGGGAAACCATCCCTGGGGGGAATTTTTGTCAATGACTCTGGAGTTGTGATGGCTGTCTGAATAAGGGAGAGGAATAAGTATTTATTAAGCACCTACTAAGTGATAAGAACTTTACAAATGTTATCTCATTTGATCTTTACCCCAGTCCTGAGATGTAGTTGCTATTGCTATTGCTATTGTCATTTTACAGTTGAAGAAACTTAGGCAAACAAAAGTTAGGTTACTTGCCCAAGGTCATGCAGCTAGTAAGTGTCTGAGGCAAATTTTGAACTGTGGTCTTCTCCACTCCAAGACCAGTGCTCTCTCTCCACAGTACCACCTAGTGCCATGAATACATTCCCTTTGCCTCAGTCCCCTAACAGTAACTACCTAGTGGTTCCCTGTTTAAGTCTTTAAACAGAAGCCTATTGGAGAAAGGATTGTTTCCAGGGGTCACTTCAAGGATTTTCCTGGGGCCATGTTCAGGAACAGGTAGTAGTCAAGTACTTAAACACTTAAAGGATTATTGGTTTATTACTGGAAGGACCTTAGAGAATTTTTAGTCTAAGTCCTTTATTTTAAAGATGAAGAAATAGGTCCTGGAGAAGCTATGCAACTTTTCCATGGTTGTATAGAGATAGATAGTGACAGAGCCAGGTTTTGAATAGGTCCTTGGTCTCTAAATCCATCGTTTTTTCCATTGTACCATGTTAATCATACATGCAATGCTTGGCATAGGTCAGCAGAGTGTAAGCTGTTCTTGGAAGCTTTTCTATCAATCAACCAAGTATTCTAGTGCTCCTTCCTTTTATCCACAGCTATTCTTCATGCTGGATGGTCATAGTGAAGGGGGGGGTTTGGGGTGCTCCTAGATGCACAGAGGCACCCCAAAATGGTGGGAAAAAGCCCAAATCGTGGTGTGGATCTGCCTGAATGAATTCAACTCAGATCTTCTTCCAGCCAGAGAAAAAGTTTATTAAAAATATAGCATATAGGCCAGACTCCAAAGGAACCCAAACATCAGTGATCTAAATGGAATTTAAGGTGGTCAGGTGACGCTCACAAGGAAGAGCAGTGTGAGGTAGTCTAGAAAGCTCAGCGTCTGAGTGGGGGCTGGGGCTAAGGTGGTCAGGCCAGGTGACACCTGTTACGGGTGGGCATGGGGTCTTATCCTCTAGGGGCATGAGAAATTCCCAGCGTCTGAGTGGGGGAAAGATGAGTCTTTAAGTACAGAAAGATTGGGGAGGGGTCTAGGAGTGGCCAAGCAGTTTGGAGTAACAGGAGGAGGGGTCCAAGGAGTGGCCAAGCAGTTTGGGGTGAGGGGAGGAGGGGTCTAGGGAGATCTGGATGGGGGTGGCCAGCAAGCTGGGGCGAACGGAACACTGGTGCCTAGCTAGGATTAAGGGTGGGAATGGCCAGGAAGGCAAAACAATGGGAAAGCCAGTTGATGGGGGAGGTGGACCAAACAAACTGAAGCTGCCAGGTTCTTTTTAGGGGCCGGGGAGGAAAGATGTCAAAGAGAGATAAGTAAGTCTAAAAGTTTTAAGGTTTTTCTGGGAATTTTAGGTAAACCTCTTCAATAGAAGAAATATCAGGTATAATCCTTGGCTGCAAAGAGTTTGTAGTCTAATTGGAGAGACAAGACTGACACACAAAATACAACAGGGAGAAGCACAAAATGTGTAGTACAGCCTCTAAATACTCTGAGGGCTTAAAGGAGAAGTGATCAGAAGAGGAACAGTAAGATTTCATTTCTTTTCTCCCTTAGGATTGTCACTGCTTATTTTTTTCCTTTCTTTCTTTGCCACCTCTCAGGATTTCCATCTCAAAAAGGGAGAGCAGAGGGGAAAGAGATCTCAGCTTGGATGGTGTATTCCTGGAAACCACACTCTGCAGAACATTGATTTGGATCAAGGACACAGCAGGCAGTTTAATGAACTGTGCATTATGGATTGTGCATTACCCAAAGAGGATTCCAAAGTACACACTAAACCAGAGGGAAGTAGTGTTGAGGTTTAGAATTGGGAGAGCTGGTTCAGATGTGAAAGAATTCACTTAGACCTTCTCTGTGACCATTGGGAGCTTTATTGATGCAAAAGCAGCAGGCTAGCTCTGGGAAGAAGACTAGCAACTTACAGAGGAACAGGGGTCTGTTTTATCTTACAAGATAAGGGGAGGGGTTGTCATGACACAGGATGAGGAAGATGGTTGGCAGAATAGGGGACTCAGGATAAGGAAGATGGGAAATTTTATGACTTAGGATGAGGGGGACAAGGAAGTTTTATGGTCCAGGATAGGCGGGAAGTTTTGTGGTATCTCAAGATAAGGGAAAGAGACTATGATGCCTTCAGGTTCAGGAGGGGCCTCACAAGGTGCTGGAAAAAACCCTTAATCAAAATTTGCTTCTTTAAAAAGCTTTTAGCTTTCAGGGCACTGTATATCTTCTGCTTCAGTAGGTGTTAGGCACTAAGGGAGAGAGTAATTGGGCTAAGAATGGAGAGAGAAATGTTTTACTTCCTGCTGCACATCTGGGTCAATTTATGATTCATCTGCCCTTCAGAGTCCAATTAAGCATATTGATGCCTCACTGACCCACTTTTCAGAATTCTTCCCAATACCTGTGTCTCACTTACCTCCTCAGGTAAGGGCTAGATCAGTTCTGCCTTCCCATTGAGTGAGGGTTTCCCTGAGCCTGAAGGAAAATTGTGAAAAGATTTCAGCTAAATATGATTTCATACACTGTTACTGAAAGACCTTTGTTTATTAAGAATAGCATCTATATGGGGCCATTTTTCTGAAAGAAGCCTACTATGGAGAAATCCACATCTGTGAAAATGACCTACCCTGCTAGTGATCCTAACAAATGCTATTGGAAAATAATTATAGTTAGCATTTATACTGTAAGCTTTACAAAGTAATATATATATATATACATGCATATATATATGTATGTATATATATATATTATAAATCTCATTTGATCCTCACAGCTAGCCTGTGAGGGAGGTGCTGTTATTAATTCCATTTGAGGAGATGCTGAGGCTAAGAGAAATTAAATGATTTGCCCAGAGCCACACAGCTAATAACTATCTAAGGTAGGATTCAAACCCAGGTCTTACTGACTCCATGTCCAGTGAGAGTTAATAGGACATAGAAAATGCTTTTTCACAATGAGTAGCTAAAGGTTTTCAAAGGGAATACTAACCTTAGAATAGTTAGAAAAAGAACTTATTAAATGTTGATTATGTTCCAGTATGTGAAGGTACAAATAAAAAGCAGATGATAGGCCTTCCTTCCCCTCAAGGACTTTACATTCTAATGGGGGAAGGCAATAAAAAGGGGGTGCTAAAAATGCAAGGGGTGTAATGGTATGGCCTGGAAGGATCAGGAATGTGAGATGAAGACCTTGATCCAGGAAAGAGAGGCAGAAGCTCACATATCAGAAACCAGGGTGGTTCCAGGAGCAGAGTCCAAGTTTCCTGTGGGAGGATAAGGGGATGAAGGTTGGAGTGGAAGTTGAAGACGGCCAGGAAAGAAAGAGACAGACAGACAGATGGAGAGGGAGGAGAGGTGGAGAGATAATGAGAGATGGAGAGGAGGGAGAAGGAACAGGGGGGAGAGAGAGACAGACAGACAGAGGCAGAGTGAGGCTGCCACTCATCACAGAGCACAGGAAGCTTTAAGAATAGAAGCAGTCTTTTTCTTTTAGAAAAATTGATGTTATTCTTCATAAGCTCCTTAGAGGTTTTGTGTCTTCCTTACAAAATACCATTATTCCATTTCTTTACATAGTAAGCTCCTCTCTTCTTGTTCTCATGGGAACATTTAATTCATTCAGCCTCTCTAAGCTTTGTCTTGGATGAGGGTGGCGAAATTCAAGTCTCATGTGAACTTCAGTAACAGAGCTGAATCAAGCAATGCCGGACAACAATTACACAAACATAACAGGGTACAGTAGTGTGGCTGAGGCCTGCAGGCAGGGGCTAGGTAGCTGGGGAGAACAGGGAGGGGAGCTTCCTTCTCTGCAGTCCCTGCAATCTCTTTGGGCTCTGTAGTTGCTTTGGGTTCTTCTGGCTTCTGACTTCAAGAGAGAGGATGGATGATGCCAACCCCGACTTTTGCTCTCACTCTTGTTTCTGTCTCTCTTGGGGACCAATGGTGTAAAACTTTCTCTCTGGGTCTTCCCTTCCTCCATTTCCTCCAGCTATGGTCTTGCCTGCACCTTGACAGCATTCACAACACATTCATGGGCTACCTAGAGGAACCCAAGACTGGGCCTGGGGCTCCTTGCTGTCTCTTATGCTCAGATTTTTTCCCATAAGCATAAGTGAATGAATCTCAATTCTGAGATGAATTTTTTTTCAAGTTTTGGGGCAGCCTTATGAGTCTGAGAGTTCAGTAACTCCTCGGTACTTCAGTTAGGACTGACTACAGCTTGAGGCAGTTTCTTTAATCCCAACTTTCTCAGAGAAGATGAAATGTGAAGCAACAATGAAATGACCCTGGAAGAGGCTTGGTGAATGATGCTGCCTGACTGCCTAAATTGGCTGAATCTTGAATACCTTAGCTTGATAGAAAATTAACAAAGAAAACAGAAGAGACCATTCTAGGCAATTAGCTTGGACCAGGAAAGGTTGGTGGTAGCTAGAACTGATCTATCAATAAGGGCTCTGAACTTTGTGTCCTTAAGTAGGGGGATCATAATACACATCACTTGAAAGCAGACAGTAAGCTCCATCACTTCTGCATAACATAGAACGTGTGTA